TTGTGTTCCAGAGTGTCTAATTTGCCATTATTTCTACCTAGCATATCACATGTGGTAGTTTGCATGTCTAAATGTTCACCTTGGGTCTTTTTTATATTTTTCATGTTTCTATTTATCTTCCTCAGTGCTTCCCCAGCTGTTTGAACACATGGAATAGAGGAATAACTGTTTGAATGTTCTTGTCTTCTAAATTTTTCATCTTTCTCATTCATCTGTTTTTATTTATGAGTATTACTATTTATGCTCTCTTTCTAAAATATGAGTATTTATAGGTCTTATTTTCTATTTCTTTGCATGCCTGATAATGTTTTATTGGGTTTCAAATATGTAAATTTTACATTTGTGGGTTTTGGGTATTTTTATATTCCTATAAGCTTTCTTGAACTTTGTTCTCTTTCTTTGAAACAGTTTGATTCTAAGTACTGCTTTTAATCTTTCTTTGTAGGACCATAGCAGCATTTTATCCATGGCTAATTTTTCCCACTACTAAGACAAATCCCTAGTGGGACAGAATTATGAGATTTCCAACCTGACTTCTAACCTGATTGGTGGGAATAAGCCCCATTCCCAGCCAGATGTGAAATCCAGTAATGTTTTTCCCTAATGCTTTCTTTTCCTATTTATTTGTTTGTTTGTTTGTTTACTTGAGATTGAACCCAAGTCCTTTGCACTGAGCTACATCCCTGACCTTTTTTCTTTTGAGGTGGGGCCTTGCTAAGTCACTGTGTAGCCCAGCCCAGACTGGGCTTGAACTCGTGATCTTCCTATTTTAGCTTCCTAGAGTGCTGGGTTTATGTGTTTGCTCCACCAGGTCTAGCTCTGTAATACTTCCTGATAATTCTTTTCCTGGCTTCAGGTAGTTGTCTTATACCATACTCATGTGCAGATGAGTATTTGGTTGAAGACTCTGGTGATACCCTTAGCTGAGTTCTGGGGTTTTTCACTGGAGAGCTGTTTTCTTGAGCACTCCAACTTGTGAATTCAGGCTGCCCTTTTCTCCTTGGACTCACATGCATCTTTGTCTGGGTTCCCTGTCCTGGTGCAGTACCTATCAACTTTCCCCAGGCACTAAGCTGGAGGTAGTTGTGTTGCTTAGTGCATTGACTCTCCATTCTGAATAACTGTCCTTTGTTACTGGTGTCCAGTACCACAAAGCTACACACACTAGGATCATGGAGGACTTCTATAAAAGTCTATCTACCACAGTGGATCCAAGGATGACACGAAGGAGAATGTGGCATTTGAGCTGTAGAGTGTGTAGTACTAAAAAAGAAGGTAGAGAAAAAGCCATAAGTTCATGCTGATCCTTTTGTTTTGAATCCTTTCTATCCTCTCTCTGTGATGGGACCTTGCTTTTTTAAAGAAACTAATTTTTGCTGCTTAGTCTAGAGATACACTTTTCTTTTCTTTTTTGTTTTTTTTTTTTCGGTACCAGGGATTGAACTTGGGACCTTGTGCTTGCGAAGCAGGCAGCAGAACCACTGAGCTAAATTCCCAGCCCCCGTTTCTTTTAACTTATAATGAAATAAGAATATCTTGAATCTTCTTTTTTTTTTTTTTTTTTGGTACTGGGGATCAAACTCGGGACCTTGAGCTTGCAAGGCAGGCACTGGAACCACTGAGCTATATCCCTGGCAAGAATATCTTGATATGTTAAATCAGATTGACTCTGTTAAATCATACAATTATTTTGTTAATTTATAGGGAAACACTTTTTCATTATCTGTCCTAATTGCTTTTCTCAGTCTAAACCATTTTGTACATACATAAAATCCTCTTGGTCTTGACACTTGACTTTTTAAGGAAAAGATCTACATAACCATGTGCATCTCCAATATATTTATGCACTTGTAAATATTTTAAAAATACTCTTTGCATGTATTTCATCTGTAAGTATTATTATAGTTATTCACTGTGGAGAATTTAGAGGTTCTTATGCCATTCTCTACAAAATGAATGTCTCATAATCCCAGTACTCTATCTTTAAGATCAAGTGTTTATTTAGGTTTGTTCAGAGATCGTTAAAAAATAATAGGCAAGAACTGCTCAATTTTTAAATAGTATTTAGAAAATAATGACAAATGTTGGTATAAATATATTATAAAATCCTTATATCTAAGAAATATAATATTAAACAACTGATACTAAAATGTTTGGTAGCTAAATTACATTTCAGAAGATGGATCTAGTGCATTGATAATTAGCATAATATTTGAATTGCAGAAAACTCTTCAATTTAACGAGTACAATCCTTTTTCACTTAAGTGTCCTATAAAAACCTAAAGATTTTTCAAGTCCAGTGATTTCTGTTTAGAATCCTGTTTAGAAAATGCTTCTCAGCATAAAATTTTGCATTATGTATCTTTACAAAGGATTTTAAAAATGTTAACCCTTTAAAAAATTAAATCTGTAAGATATAAAGGCATTATTAATCTCTTTTAACTTTGCTGATGAATGGAAATCTTTTAATCAAGAATATTACAAGTGGGCCTTAACATCTCTCATTGTCATTAACATCCTAAAAGGTGCATGCTTGTTAAGCTACATCACAGTGCCTTGTATGTCTTTTTAAAAAATAGATGTTATTCTACAAGCCCAAAAGGTTACCTTAACATAGATAAACTTTCATTAGTGTAATATCTTGTTACAGAAGTTAATGGTTAATTGTTTTCAAAGTTATAATGTTCCTTGATGCTCACTAATGTTGTGTATTTTTTCTAATAAATTTTAAAAGAGCTTAATGAGGTACAATTGATATATAAGTGGCACATATTTAAATGTTATAATTTTTAAAATATTGACATAAACTGTAGTGGTGGACATTTGTAATCCCAGTTGCTTGGGAGGCTGAGGTGAGAGAATTGCGAGTTTCAATAGTGAGATCCTGTCTCAAAATAAAATCAAAAGGGCTGGGATTGGACCTCAGCGTAGAAAACTTGCTTAGCACTAGTGAGGCCCTAGGTTCAGTCCCCAGTACCAAAAATACATAAGCACACACACACACAAACACACCCACACACAAACATCCTTGAAAGCATCACAACAGTCAGTGAACATTTCCATCATTCTCCAAAATTTCCTGTCCCCTTTTCTCATTTCTCGCTACCAAAAGTGCACTCTCTTTCCCAGACCACCGTTAATTTTCTTTTTGTCACTACAGATTAGTTTTGATCTTTCTAGAGTGTTTTATAAGTGGAACCACAAGAATGTAATTTTTTTTGGTCTGACTTCTTTTACTCTGCATAATTATTTTGAGATTCTTCTATTTTGTTGTGTGCATAGTTTACTTTTTTCATTGCTGAATAGTATTTCATGCAAAAATATGCCATTATTTGTTTATCCCTTAACCTAATGGTAGAAATTTGGATTGCTTCCAGTTTTTAGATATCACAAAGAAAGCTGAAGTTTTTAGCTATTGTAAGTAAAGCTGCTATCAAAATTGAATGTGGCTGGGGACGTAGCTCAGGGGTGCCATGCCTACCTGGCAAGTGCAAGGTCCTAAGTTCGATCCCCAGTACCAGGAAAAAAAAAATTGAATGTGTTTAAAATTATTTTATTTTCAGTTTTTAACACTTCCTGGCAATCATGCTTATCAACATTTGTCAGACATGTTTTTATGCACCTTTCCCAGCAGGTTGTGGTAATTAGGGAAAACTATGAAAATACTTAACTTTAAACCCATTTCCTACATTTTGTCCATTTTACTTATTAGAGGGATTTTTTTTTTTGGTACTGGAGATCGAACTTGGGACCTTGCGCTTGCAAGGCAGGCGGCAGAACCACTGAGCTAAATCCCCAGCCTTATTAGAGGTATTAATTATAGGAAGGAAAAAATATCTGATTTTGAATTCTGAAACCCTAACAACCTGGACACCATTATCTTACCTTTGATGACATCTCTAAATAAAAATTTTAAATGTAGTGGAATTGAAGCCTCTAGTTCTTAATTAACCAAAGAGCTTATGCAAATACTTTCTTTACTGTGATGATGTTATGATGACTATTTTTCTAAAGAGAATAAATGTTTCCTAATGATCATATTTTATTTCTGTAAGTAAATGTGCCAGTTGAAATCTATCACACTTATGAAATTTTCTGTAAACAAGAAAATATAGAAAAGATCCCATAATGCCATACTAAAAGAGAATGAGACACAATTTAATTTATATTTTTGGTATTGAGAAAACTTTACTCTTCCAGTTTTATAATTTTTTGAAAATCTAATAACCCTATAGAGCGCCTATACAAAGAACTATTTTATGTAATACTATTTCAAATTCTTAAACATTTTCCCAAGAAGAAAAGTAATCAGAGCTTAACATTTGCTCCTTTTGACTTGCTTATTCTTCACAATAAATATATTTTGAGTATGTATATGTATGTAAGCATATATTGACTGTGACATGTACATATATTAAATCACTTTTCTAAGTCAATAAATACCTCCTGTTTATGATTAATTTTAGTATATTTATGGTTTGTTAAGAATAGTTCTAATTTTAGGCAATTTCACTTAAAGTGGCATTTCTCTACATTAATGTTAACTATATAACCTTGATACAAATTCAGGAGCCATTCTATTATATTATATATTTTCTAAAAAGCTAATCCTATTACACAATTTTACGTCTTTCCTGAAAACTTATAGACTGAGTTAAAGAGTATTTTTCCCCAATAGAACCCTGTATATTCAAGTATTAAGTTCTTTTAAATATAACATCTTCTTGTATTGATATATTGATTTAGATTTGGGGAGGGATAGCTTGCAAATTCTTTTATTGCTTCTTATGATTGTTTAAAGCTAATTTGAATTATGACACTTTATTTTTTTCTTTTATTAAAATTATAGTGAATTTTGCATAGTATTTGAATAGAAATCAATGTTTTCTTTTGCTCTTTTCTTTTTTTAATCAGTAGGAAGCTTTATTTGCGAGGCTAAAGATAAACTACTATGATGATTTAAGCTAAATAAAAAGCTAATAAACTTTGTCTTTTTTTAGATCTCTATAAGAATGGACTCCAGAGGGCTAACTTTGTGCCATTCATAGCTGTCCTGAAAGTAAGAAAAATCACTTACTTTTGTTTAGTACTTGTGATATATTGGGAGGTAATCAAGGGGTTCTGTAAATCTTGTATTCAAGCAGAATTCATTTTGATATTTAGATACTGATATTCAAAGACACTAAAGGAGAAAAGAACCTTTTTATGCAGTATTCATCCATGTGTACATGGGAAAAATTACCAAATAGAGTATACTCTAAATTATTCTCTAACTAAAACATTTGATAGTTTGCATTTTATAAATTTTAATTTGAGGTTTGCTCATAAATATTATAGTGGGATGTTTAAACTTATATATTTATTTCTGAAAAAAATGTTTCCTTCAGGTTAATGGCCATTATTAATATGTTTTCCCAGCTATTAAAGTTGCTATTCTAGCATAGCATTATTACAAAAATATTCTAATATATTTAAATGTGATTGCCATCAAGTTATCATGAAATTATGTCAAGTTGAGGCACATAAATAGTTTAAATATTTGTGTGTATCATCATTGCGTAGAGTTTAAAATAGTCTTCATTACAATATGATTAAGAATAAATAACCTCCTTTTTCACTGGTTTTTTAAAAAAATTTTGTTTTGTTTTTTGTTTTTTGAGACAAGGTCTCCCTGTGTAGTTCAGGCTGGCCTGGAACTCACTGTATAGCCCAGGGTGGCCTTGAGCTTGTGGTGATTCTCCTGCCTCAGCCTCCCAAGTGCTGGGATTACAGGCATGTGGTACTGTGTCCAGATTTTTGCTGTTAATTTTAAATAATTTTTACATAATTATTCAATAATTCCATATTTTACCAATATTTATTGAAAACCTATTATATATAAAGTGTCAGTTTAGGCATACTGGATAATATAATTATAAAGTAGATTATGTCTTGCTTATAAATCATTTATAGTCTAGCTGAGGTTGTAGAATGCACAAAAATACTTATAACAGAAAGCAAAATGTATACTACCCAAAAGAAGCACAATTATGTGCCAAAAACATAATTTCCATAATTTTAGGTACATAATTTTTCCCAGTTCATATCAACATCGCTAAAGAAAAGATAAAGTTGTATTTAACAAAAACTAAAAACTTGAAAATTCTTACTGAGAAGGAGTTAAAACATTTTGTCTTCAAATATTCCAAAGACATAATCAGACAATCTTTTTGACATATACTGTAGTTCTAATTATTATTGGTATCTAACTTTATTCCCTGTGCTATACTTAGGAGAATTTAAACATGTGTTTCCTTAACCAACTTTAGATTCCTAAGGATTTTAATTTCTCTGAGTTATTTATAGATGTAGGAAAAGTACTTTTGGACGTTCTTGCTGTTAGTAATTTTTTCCCTTTATATTCATTTTTTTACATAGGGAGAAGGTAGATTTGCAGTATTTTCTCCATACTAAGAATCTAAAGTAATATTGTGTATAAAGATAACAAAATATAAACAAGACAACTAAGAAACATAGGGGCTAAAAATAGTATCCTCATATAGCATAAAATACATAGAATATAAAAAGAGAAGATTCACAAAATGAAACAAGTTAAGAGGTTCTCAGGGAACTTTTAGCTATACTCTTCTTTTGGCCTTAAATCTTTTTATGGCCAATAATTTGTCATGCTTTAATATAGAATAGAACTATTAATAGACAACTAAGTTGACCAGATTAAATTTAATTTTTGTTTCCTTTCCTATTCTTAATTTTTTTGTGTGTGAAGAGGAAGGAAAATCAAATATGAGTATAGTAATCCACAATTTCAAAGTGAAGATGAATCAAGATGAATAATATATTATTTGTATTGAATATGAACTGAAATTCTTGGGAATTGAAATACCTGAATGGATGAGAAAAGATCTAAAATGTCTCCCTCTATGCAACAACATGAATATAAAGGGAAAAATTGCTAACAGCATAAATCTTCCAAAAGTTCTCTCACATAGAACAAAAAGTCAGATGAATGAAAGAAACTATAGAGTTGGTTTCTCTAGATCTTTTCTGTTTGGCCACATGAAGTTTCCTTTGTAAGGAAACGCGGTTTCATATTAACTTCCTTAATAATATTTTGCCCATTTAGATTGAGTGTTACATCTGCATTTTGGCTCAGCTGAGAGAAAGGTGTAGTAGAAGTCAATCTTAAATAGAGAATCTTAGTTTCACAAAAAGAGGTTATAAGCAAGATTGAAATTTATTGGAGAAAAAGTATATTGTAAAATTCACTTTTATAGTCTTCTCTATAAGTCAAAATGATAACACATTTATAATTTACCACAAAAGCTTGCAACTTATTGCTTTGAGTATTGAAAAATAATAAGAGCTTATATAGGGCCAGGGATTTAGCTCAGTGGTTCTGCCGCTTGCCTCGCAAGCACAAGGACCCAAGTTTGATCCTCGGTACCAAAAAAAAAAAAAAAGAGCTTATATAAGTTCTTAGTACAAATGGTATTTTCTTAAGAGAGTAGGAGTGAAGTGGAGGACTAATACATTATTAAAAGTCATAACTCCATCATAGATGAATAAATAATATGTGATATAGCCATGTCATTCTTCTGTAAAAAAGAATGAAGTTCAGATACATAGTATATGCATGAACCTTGAAAACATTATGCTAAGTAAAATAAGATGGGCAAAAAAGAACAAATATTATATGATCTATGTATGTGAGGTAGCTAGAAAAGACAAAATGTAGAGAAAGAAAGTAGGATAGAGGTTATCAGGATCTTGAAGGAAGGGGGAATAGGTAATTATTGTTTAATGGGTACAGAGTTTCTGTTTAGGATGATGAAAATGCTAAAGAAATGGAGAATGGTGATAGTTGTACAACATAATGGATGTACTTAATGCCAATGAATTGTATACTTAAAAGTGGTTAAGACAGTAAATTTTATCTTATATATATTTCCTGAAATAATAATCCTAATTTAAAGAAATAAGAGACAAAGTCTCATGATAAATTATGAAAATGTCCCCTAAGTGTCAGTTGAAAATCACTCATACCAAAAACCAGAAGGATCTCAAATAATTGTGAAAAGACAGCCAACTGATGACAATGTCAATCATGATGACAGAGATGTCAGAATTATCTGATAATGATTTTAAAGGAGTCAGTAAAAATGCTTCAATAGGCAGTTATGAATATCCTTAAAACAAAGAGTCATTACTCCTTAATGATTTTAAAAAGTTTCATTCACAGGTGGTATTTAATCATTTTAAATCTACATGTAACTTATAGCCTTTAGATATGTGAGGCAAATGATAGAATTACAAGAGAAACAAAATCACAAATATAATGGGAGATACTTTCCATAAGCCTTAGTAATCGATGGGGAAAATATATAATAGTAAAGACTTAAACAGCATAATTAACAAACCTAACCTGAGTGAGAGAAGGGGTGGGCAAAAGGAAAGAAACATGGGCTAGAGAAATCATATTTTCTAATTAGAAAACTATAATGTCTTCAAGATTCATTGATGTAGCTTGTGTTATAATTCTATTCCTTTTGACTAGTGTGACAGTTGTCCATTGTATATACCACATTTTGCATATCCGTTTATTAATGGCCATTGGAGATATTCTACATTTTTGCTATTGTGAACAAAGCTACTATCAACATTTGTGTAGAAATATTTGTTTGGGCCCCTGATTTCAGTTCTTTTGTGTATACTCAGAAGTAGAATTGTAGGATCATATGGTAATTACATGTTTAAATTTTTTGAGGAACTGTGATAGTGTTTTCTATAATGGCTGCACCATTTTTTATTCCCATGTGAAATATAATCTCCACGACAGTTGTTCTTTTCTTTTTTTGCAGTGCTGGGGATTGAACCCAGGGCCTTATTATACTAGACAAACACTGCGCCACTGAGCTACTATTTTCTTTCTTTTTTTTGATAACAGTCATCCTAATGTATGTAAAATGGTATCTCATGGGTTTGATTTGCATATCCCAAATTATTAGTAATGCAGACTATCTTTTCTGGGATACAGCAGACTTTATTAATGGTACATGACAACATGGGGTTTCTTAAACCCTTCCCTCTCTTCCTGGGATCCTGGATGGAAACTGTGTCAAAGAGAAAAGATTCTCAGTGTGGTGGGGGACTGAGCTGTGACAGAGACTTGTCAGTACCTGAGGTCTTCTCTTTCTTTCATGCTTTCACTAGGGATGGTGGTCCAGGGAGTTCTCACTTCTTGAAGACCATGTGGACCATATGATCTACCACCCTGTTGTTGTAGCCAAATTTATTGTATTACTAGAAAATGAGCTTGACAAATTGGTTGTTGAGGGCAGTGCCAGTCTTAACATGAAAGATGGAAGAGTAGTGATACTGTTAAGAGTTGAAGGAGATAACCTGATCCTCAGTGTAGTCCAGGAAGCTCCTTAGGGGGTTTTCCACTGTCTACTTTATTACTTACTTGATGTCATCATACTTGGCAGCTTTTTCCAGATGGCAGGTCAGATCCACAACTGACATGTTGAGGGGGCCATATGGAAAGTCATGCCAGTGAGCTTCCCATTTAGCTCAGCAATGACCTTGCCCACAGCCTTGGAAGTGCTGGTGGACACAGGAGTGATGGTGTAGACAGTCCCACAGCCATCATGCAGCAGTTTTTCAGGGGGGCCATCAAGGGTTTTCTGGGTGGCAGTGATGTTATAACTGTGGTCATGAGCCCCTGCATGATGCCAGGGTTGTCTTGGATTATCTGGGCTGTGGCGGGGAGGGGGTGATGAATGCTTGTGGTTCAGGAGACATTGCTGATAGTCTTGAGTGAGTTGCACTTCTCATGGTTCACACCCATTATAAACATGGGAGTGTCAGTAAAAGGGACAAAGATAATGATCTTTTGGCTCTCACCACCCCAAAGGTAATAAAGACACCAGTGAACTCTAACATTTTAGCACCTTAATCTCCCCATTTGAGGTTGGCAAGATTTAACTCTTGGAAGATGGAGATGGGCTTTCCATTGATGGCAACCTTCCCACTTCTAGCTTTAATTGTGCATTGAACTTG